GAAAGACTGAATGCAACTCATTGGGAATGCTTATTTTGAGCTGTAAAATAATGTGTGTAATTTGCAGGTGAAAGATAAAGGAATTACATAGCTACCTCTCCACGGCCTCCAAGGAGACCAATGACCAGTGGGGAGAACCAGCCCTACCTCTTAAATGAGAAGAAAAAGAAAGCAAAGTAAATATCCTTATAGGTAATTTTTTTAAGGAAACTTGCAAATACTTAGACTGAGTGGCATTCCTAACAGTTCAAGTGTCATTCTGTTTCACCTTAAATCTGTGGATGGATTGTTTTATTGAAAAGGGTCTGACACAAGGAACAGCCATTGATTCCATAACAACTTTATAGTGCATACATTTTTTTAAAAACTCAGTGGTAGAAAAAAAACCATACGGTGGTTAATAGACCTAGTAAACACACTGCCTTGGTGTCTAAACACCTACTTGTTACAGGGTCCACTATGCACTTACTTACTTACTAACCTCTTTCTATATGTTTAATTTGGTGCAGGCATGTGTGCAATCTAGCAAGCATTTCTCTGTCTATGCATAACTGGAAATAGGAATCATTCAGATTTTCAAAAGAGTACTGCCGTTTTTCCAGGTTAGTGCCATGTCCGTAAGTATAACTAAAAACAACTTCATAAATAAATAGACAGCGTTGCCAGTTCATAGTCCACTCATCCTCCTCTCTCCAGAGATTGTAACAAAAATGAAATCAGCAGGGTTTTCTTCTCCTTCAGCACACATTTTCATTTACCTTGCAGTGTTCACGCTGTGTGTGGGGGGGGGGGAAGAGGCAGTGTTCAGCTTGTTTAATTAGAGGACTGCAAAGTGGAGGGACATGATTTCCCATGAATTTTCCACAATGAAAGCAAAGTTTATCAACAAAAAGTCTAGGTGCCCTATCCTTCAGCAATATTTGCAACTAGACGAGATTTTTAAAACTGCCTGTAACTAATATCTACTAATGTTCTTTAGCTAAATCTGTGTCTATCAGTTCAATGCCATGATATTCTACTAACCTCTTTAAATTGTCCCCAGCCCCATTGCCACCCGCAATAATTAACTTTGCCTTTTCTCCTCTCAACTTTGTCCTCTAAATTAAGCAAGGGGGCTACACCTTTAAATCACCAAATTACACTAAGAAAACTGTACCCTAGAAAGGCCCAGAAGGCTTGTTCAACAAATGTTTACAAGTCGGATCATCCAACAAGACTAAGACCCTAATTCATTACAAGCAAAATGGTAAAAATAATTCACAGCTTAGTACAAACAATTTTAGTGTTCCCAGTTGGGTCCCTCACTATCAAAACATGCTGTGGTATGTGCATGTGTACTCTCATGAGTCAAAGTAGAACGGTGGCCAGTCACCTAACAATTCAACCAGTGTCCATACTAAAATCTGGTAAGTTGGGCCCCTCTTTATTCAAGTCAGGGGCAAATGTCTTGGCAGACAAGATCATGCCAAGTCTGTGCAGGAGTGTATGCCCATCTCTGTGAACATTGCTGGAAGGAGGCATCATCTCTCGATAGCTGACAAACTTGGTCCAAATCTTCCAAATTCACTATGACAGCAAATTTAGATTGTACAATTTTCACTATTTTTTCTTAATAGTGAGGTGAAAGGGAAGTCAGACATACCTGAATTATACAAATAATTAACTCAATTTTCCAATTTATTTTACCTTCTTCGGACATTGCCTGAAGATGACATTGTCTCTTTTAAAGATGCTGTCACTTGAATGAGGACAAAAAGAAACTCTCTGAGAGGCCCCAGATCCGTCTTAGGAAAACTGAGGTGTACCATTTGTGTGGAAGGATGAAGCCGAATACCTCCCTAGGTTTTGCTGAGCACCACCACACATCTCACCCAACTGCTTACAGACTTGGTGTGGGAGAGAGAGGAGACAGCTAAGGAAGAGGAAAATGGGAAGAGAGGGAGGGAGGGGGAGGGGACAGAGATTAGTCTATGAATTTGAGTTTAAATTTGAGGGCATTGAGAAGATAATTCTTTATGAAAAATGGTTTGACAGAATAACTTATATTCCACCAACACCCCATAGTTTTTCTACGAGCCTAGTTGGATATGAAACTTGAGATCTGTCAACATTTTATAGTTACCCTGACTTAATAAGCATTTTTCCTTCTTTTCTTTAACTGCCAAATTTTTTAATGAAATGGAATCTTGGATGCCTACATTCTGGGGGTTTTTTATTTGCTATATTATAGTTGTCTGCTTTTAGTCCATGAATGCCAAAGTCTTTATTCTTACAAATCTCTCTACATGTGTAATTTGAGCTTGCTAACTAGTTCTTTACCCACTTCATTAATTAAATTGACAGAAAAGGTTATTTTCCCATGTTGTGGTGAATGACTCTTCAGATGAATTTTTGAATGAATGTTTCACAGTCTTTAGTACATAACCCTGTGTCCTCAGATCACATCACAGCAGCAGATAGGAAACTCTCTCAAATTAAAAAAAAAGAACATTTTTGCAACTCATCTTAAACTTCTAACTAGAGAAAAATGGTTCTTCTTATTTTTGACCTGTGTTATTGCCACCATTTTAATTTTAAATTTTTAAAGATATTAAGAAATAAAAGTTAAAAAGAATTGGCCTAAACCAATTTTTAGTTCACATATTTGTCACTAATATTTGGGTATCAATGATGAGTCACAAGCCTTTGAAGTGCTCTTCCAAATAAATAGCAAAAAATTGCATTGAAGAATCAATGTCATACGAACATATATATTTTGCAAGGCAATGTACTTTTATATAAACATGAAAACTAAAGATTATTTTATAATATCCGTGTAAATAAATCATTCATGAAAAAGTCTCTGATCACAAGATTCAGGAAACTTCAAAACTTTATCATTTTGATTTGTTCAGCTAGAACCAATAGCCCTTGAAAGAGAAAATTCAAGTCCGATATTCTTTACATTTGTTTAACACAAATGAGCATTTGGAGTCCTGCCAATGAATGTCAATATATTCATTTTGATGGTAATCTTTAACAACAACAACAAAAAAAGGTTCCAAAAATCTGAAGGCTCAAAACACCACTTAAAGAAGCATGCATATAATACATCACCCCATATCCACGCAAATCATTTCAAGGGCAAATACATTCTTCAAATTTGCTTCTTGAACAGTGTTCGCCTACAGATCACCTTTTAATGCACAGAGAGGCCTATGATAAAAACTACCTTAAAAATGGTTTCTTTACAATGGGGAGAATAAAATAAAACCATTGCTCTTTTTTTCATCATATCAGGATTGAATTTTTGATCTAAGACAATAGCATTTAATGTGCAGGGGTAAAAAAAAGACAAAAGGAAAATTATCTGAATTTAGAGGGAATGTTTATATTTTAAATGTGTCTTTTTAAAAATGTCCTGCCATTTTTATTTTACACAAAACACATTATTTAAGTGCATAATACTTTTTTAAAGGCCGTGCTTAAAAAATAGTACCAGGCATCTATTCTCTTCTGGGGTGTCAGCTACCAAAAGTCCAATTCCCATTTGAAAAGAAAATTTGACTTGTTTCAGTGTCAGATACACTCAGTTCCTCTTGTTTTGAGTCACTGCTATTTAATGCATTGTTAATCATAGAACTTCGGTATATTGCACATGGGCATGTTCTATGCAAATGTATTCAGTTGGGGTATGTATATATTTTGTTATGTTCTGTACATAAACATCTACCCTCGTGCATATGTATATTTACATCATGTGTAAATATGTGGAGTATATTACCAAACTGTACTATACTTAAGAGGAGGAGGAGTTTCTAAGAAATGCCAGGCAATATTTCAGTTAACTGTTAACCGAGTGCTTTTATTTTTTGAAAGCCATTAAGCTGTATTTTGGGTTTTGTTTTTCACAGTCCCAAAGGTGGGTGTTGACAGACATGATTATTTCCTGTTTTCCAAAAGGCCAGTTTTAAAATATTATGTTAACATCTGCTTTAAATAATTAAAAGTGGAACCATCCCCTTTGCATCTACCTTCTCCTAGGAAAGCCTGTGGGCAAAGATCCTGATAAATAATTCAAAGAAAAACTTAACTTTGATTTCACAAACAAAAGCTCATCCACTGAAACACTAACATCCTACAATTAACATGCTTTGTTCAAATGTGGTCTTCTCTAAATTATCCCATGAAAAGGACCGACTGACACTGTATCAAGGTGCTGGCTGCCCTGGCTTCTTGGGGTAGGCTAATATGTGCCACAGTTATTCAGAGGTTTTCTGCTGGACAAGAGGTCTCCAAGAACTACACCCTAGTAAAATCATCTAATATTAGTAGATCCAAGAAATTGATGTATACCATATTTACACATGATGTAAATATACATATGCACAAGCACACATGTTTATGTACATGACAAGACCTATACACATCCCAGCTGAATACATTTGCATAGGACATGCCCATGAGCAATAGAACAAACTTCTATGACTAACAGCAGCAGCTCAAAACATATAAAGGGGAATCGTATTCCTATTGAAAAATGCCAAAGGTATTTCTTAATTATTAGAAAATCTTGGGTGTCAACGTTGTGCAACAGAGGTTTCTAGCATCATGAAGTTTCTTTCTATGATCTTCAGAAATCCCGTGTTACAAAAAAAAAAAAAAAGAAATGCATTTAGGCATTTAGGCTCACATCCCAGAAGAGAAGAAAATCTTCAGTGTGTTTATAAATGTCCCCGTCGTGTCTCCCCTTGAAGAAGTGAACAAACTGGATGGGACACAGGAAGGAAAGGGAAAGAGTTCTTGGTTAATGATTTAAGAGGGAGGAATTTATTTTGTCCCAACTTTCCTTCAACTAGTCCACTTTTTTTCTCATGGAGAGGTAATTGACAGTCCCTGTCTTATATGAAATTATGGAAATCGCAGACTAGAAGAGTGGAGAGTCGTTATTTCGGAACTGAAAAGAGGTAGGTGTCCTTACTTCCTCCTGGAATTTCCCATTGCTGGAAAGGAGCCAAGAAGTCAAAAAGTTGCTCAACAGACCACGGTTACTGGTCTGAAACCCAGGTCCTTCCTCCTCCCTGTTCCTCCAAACCAACAAACAAAAACAAAACACTTCTATCCAAAATCCCTAAGAACAAGTCAGAGGGAAATCAGCTACCCCAAGAACTCCCTAAAAAGTGGCTTTTGGATGTATGAACCCCTGTGTAAAGCAAGAGCGAGTCATATGATGTTGTTTGTTACATCTCCAGCTAGTATTGTCCCTATCGGCTTTACCTTGGCTCACCCGGCTGCCCATAACAGCCCTGGAAGCACGAGGGACCACAGGGAGATCTCTGAGGATCTACAGCGATGACCTAATCGACCAGAGAGAGGACGCACAGTAGATAGAGAACAAGTCTGAGTCAGACGGTGGACTCTAGGCGGAAACGGACTAGCTAGCCCTGAGCAGTATCTTGCTGCGCCTCCTGTCCGGCCATTCCACGTTCTGCCCTGCCCTGCCACGAGCTGCCCTGCGCGCGCGCCTCACTCACACGCACACGCCTTAGCACACGCACACACGCGCGCACGCACATTGCTCTCAGCAGCGCCTCTCGCCAGACCGTGGGGCGACATCCACCTGGGAGGGGCGGCGGCCCTGCCCCGACAGAGATAGCCCCGCAAAGGGACAGAGAGGCCCTGGGGGTTCTGGAGTGCGTGGGCCGCGACAGAAGACGCACGGCGGCAGGTGGCAGCAGGGGCTTCTCAGTGGAGGGCGTGTAGCGGCGGGAGGGGACAGCATGGATCTGGGGAGAGGGTGGTACATACTTGGTAGCCTTTTCCCGTAGCCGCGGGGAACTCGCTTTGGAGAGAGCACTGAATGCCTGGTCGCGTCGCCAGGTTGGGACTGTCCGCGCGCGCGCAAGCGCGCACGCATGGGGACCCGGCTGGCACGAGGGCAGTTGAGGGACCCCACGCGGCGGGGTACGAGCGCGGTCCTCTCTGGGCCCGCCTGCAGAGGGCGCACTCACAGTGGCGCCCCGCTAGACCGGGTCGCCATCCCCGGAGCAACAAGGCTAGGTCATTCCAGAGAGGTCGGGGATGGGTTGGGTCATAGTCATAATCGAGGACCGCGAGATCTCAGAGTCTGCAATCACTTTTTTCCCGTCTTCCTCCTGGAAGACGGCAGGGTGCGGAATGCAAAGGGAAATAGCCTGCTGGCCAAGTGGGTCTGAGAGGCCATATCACCTCTGTGGGAATTGGGGGGCGGGTTTCTTTTCTTTCCTGGAAGATCCACTACTCAAGGCGCTGAAAAGTTTTCTACCACTTGGGGGATGTAGGAGGATGAAGTATAAACCTTGCTTCCTTCCTGGTAGGGCCTGTACTAGAAATCTCAGCGGGCGAGCTGTGCCCTTGGCTTCACTGCCTGCCACCGAATAGCCAACACACTGTTTTACTAGCTGTGCAAAGTGACCTGAGGTTGCCTTAGGAACAGCCAGCCTCGCAAATAGGCTAGGCTTTAGGCTGCGGAGAGGGTGCCCTTTAAATGTCGAGCCCCCACTGGGTGTTGCCTACCCCTCCACCTCGATCTCATGGAAAAGTGGGAGCCACGTTCCGAAAGGAACAAGTTCAGGACCTCACAAGGACATCGACTAAGGCTTGTTCGAAGCCTGGGCAAGCAAGATCTAGTCGACCCTGCGGACTAAAAGTGTCTTCTCAATAAAACTGACCAGATTTTGTGATACTCTTAAACCCGAGTGGCCCTGTCCATTCCTCACTGCAGAAGTTCAACTGAGCTTGAAGTAATGACTACACACTCCCACGCCCAGTCCCGGTCGGCCTTTTTCCCACATCTAGCACCCATAGCCAGAGGTGTGCAGAAAAAAAAATTAGAGACCCCCCATTTTATAAATTTGAGAATTTGATCAGGCAGCCCAGATTACTCAAAGTGTTCTGTTTTTCTGCGATCCAATTTTATTAGGATTTATTCTCATTTGTGCTCCGCTTCTCTGGGGAAATAATACTTTGATTAATGTAATCCTGGCCCAGGATCCGCCTCACGCCCCTCGACCCTCTCCCAAGAGAAAAGGGCCTGTTTGACAAACAATAACAGAGGCGCAACTCTTGCAATCTGCCCACACCTTTGGGGATGGCTGGGAAGAGGGTGACACTGCTGGCTAAATGCTGGAGGGAGGGGGGGAGCTGTGGTGGTGGCTAACTTTCCAGACGCAGAGCCCAAGGTACCGTGTGGGGGCGGGGGCGGTGAGCAGCGGGCGGGGGCGGTGAGCAGCGGCCACGGGAAAGGGGACCCGAGTCTCGGTGTGAGAATGGGTGCCTGGATGCCAGGCGCGCAACTGTCTGTCCTCTGCTCGCTCCCTGTGTCTACTTCTTTGTCCCTCGCCACAGGCCTCCACAACAGAATTCGGCGCACTATGGTTGTGCAGCTCCTTGACCCCCAAGGTATATCCACAGCGCCCACCCGCGGCCCCAAAGCACCTGGAGAGCTCGTCTTAGGGGTTAACCAGTCACACCAACCTGAGACGCCCTGCAGCTGCCAAAACCCGAACCAGAAGCCCAGAACGTGGAACCCAATTCAGTGATTTTCCTCATCCAGTCCAACCATGCATCCATCCATCCTTGCATGCTTGCATGCATGCATGCATGCATACCATACAAATCGGTGGACGGAAGCGCGGAGAGTTCTTTGCCCAGCTATGGGCTGAGAACGGGCGCCCCCTTTGCAGCTCTTTCGCCTCCAGCTCAACCAGGGCCCCCTCCGCGAGGAGAGAACAGCTCAATTACGAAAGGAGCAAAGAAACGAAATCCCCGGCTCCAACGCCCTGCCCACCGGAGCTTCTCCGGTCCCTCTTTCTGTTGCACGTTCCCCACCCCCACTGTCCCCAGCTCAGGGGCGGGCGGTCTAGGAGGCGGCGGTGCGAGGGGTCCTGCCTGGCTCCGCGGGAACAAAGCCCGCCGCGGGAGCTCGCGGCCGAGCTCAGAGCGGGTGACAAAGGCAGGCAGGCGGTGCCAAGCTCCAAGGCAGCGCTCCTATGGCTAGGCGGGAAGAAGGCCCCTAAAATGGATGCGATTTGCACCCAGATTTTTCTGGACTTCTGTGTTCCTCTCCTGTGTGCCCAAAGACCTGTTGGGTGACTCAGCGTTTATGTCCCTGGTCCTGCAACCTCGGCGGCCTCCCGCGTCTCTTGTGCCTTCCATCTCGCCCAGCTTTTTTCTCCACCTCACTCGGTTTACCTCGGCCCCTTCTCACTTTGAGGGTTAGGGTTTTTTCCCCTCTTTCTTTTCCATGGTAAAACAATGATAGCTGGACTTCTGCAGACGTCTCTGTGTTCAAATAACATTCTGAAAGACCTTTCTGGGCATTTGCTGGCAGAAAGGGGAAAGTACATGGGAGCCTTTTAATTTTATTATGCAAACTGCACTTTAAATAAAATAAAATGCCTTTAGAATGCGATCTAAGAAAGACAGACTTAGCCCTGAGGCCGAACAGATTCCTGCTGAATTCGGCAAGTGTCCCTGTCGCCTCCCACAAATCACATAAATGACAGGGGGGAGGCAGAAGAACCCCTCCCTGTGGAATTGGGCTTCCATTCCTCATGAGAATGGGAGCTCAAGTCTCTGAGGCAGACCTTTCTGGGAAAAAAAGTTCTAATCTTGCTTTCTAACCCTGGATTGGAATTGCTGCCAAGACCCTACCAATAAAATCGTACAATTTTTAAATTTAAAGTATTTTAATGGTGTTTATTACAAGCAAAGTTTTAATTGATCATGAGGGGGGTAAAAATAAGGGACGCATAGTCCTCACCATTTGACAGCACATGCTGTGACTTCTCAGTGATTTTTGTGCCCTGGTTTGATATTAAATAAATGTTTAGTGTTTATCAAGTGCCACTCTGAGCCGAGAATTCTCCCCCTTGGGCTTTATTAACTAGGATTCCTGCAGAAAATTTAAGCAGAGAAGTGAGTGTTAAAAGCACTATTGGACACACAACTTTTAGCTTGGAAATAAGCCTGAGCTGCAGGAAGCCATTGTGAGCAAGGTCACTTCATTCTACCACCTGAACTTCTATCGAGTAGTTTGTTAGCTGAAATCATATTCTTGCACACTGTGGGATATTAGAAGCATCAACTCTCAGAGAATACATTCGCTACTGCATTTTTCTGTTAAGTGAATAGCAACACCACACTTTCTTGAAAACACCGGTAAGGCAGGGCTATCACAGACAGGCACTGCGTTGAGTAAGACCCCAGAGAAGGGCAAGAGCCGTGAAACGGAAGCCACAGCATCCCAGGATGGGAGAAGGAAGCCACAGAAGCAGAGATGTGAAAAGAGCAGTCTAGCCTTTTAGAGAGAGAGAGAGAGAGAGAGAGAGAGAGAGAGAGAGAGAGAGAGAGAGAGAGAGAGAGAGAGAGAGAGAGAGAGAGGAATTGTTCTCTAGGAAGCCATACCATCTCTCCTTTTACCCCAGCACTACTGGTTTGGTGCCAGAGAAGATACTGTAAAATCAGATGCATGTTTGCTGGAGTAGGTACCTCAGGCAAAGAGCAGCTCAAATCTTTTAGGGCGGATGCAAGAACACAAAGTCCGGACCCTCCTCTAATAAAGCTGAGCCCATATTTCTGGGCTTTGTTTTTGTATAACACCACACACACACACACACACACACACCAAATTTGCCTTGAATTATGTTTCTAGCTGGGACATCCACATTTGTTGCTAATGAATCATATTTTCACCACCTCTAGTCAACAAGCTGGGCTCTGTGTTACCTAATCCTAGGAGTTGAAATTTGAAAAAGTCGGTGATGTCGGGGAGCACAGGAAGGGTGGTGAAGGGCAGGCAAGAATAATCCATTAGTTGCAGCTTCCCCAGCAATTGGAAGAGAGCATCACCAGACTTGACAGGTGCATGCACGCAGCCAGAGTGAGCAAACAGTTGGAAATAGGTTGCTTCAAACGTATGTGCAGGATTACCAACTAAGTTACTGTGCCTTCTCAAATGTGTTTCCCGCAATCAGAAAGGCCCTGTAGTTTGGGGGGGGGGGATGCTGCTGCTTACTTTAGAGTAAAGTATCCTACTTTTGTGAATTCATAATTACTCCTTCAAACCAGCCTGAAGAAACCCAAGTGCTTGCTCCCTTCCTCCAGATCAGATGGACCGGTTGCTTATCTGATGGGGGTGCAGGGGGTGCATACTCTAAAACCTTAGCATACCAAGAAACAACTCATCCACTGTCCACCAGATAAAGTCGATTCCTAACCAAAAGCCACGGTTGTAGAGTTCTCCCCACTTGCATAGACCAGGCAGTACAGACTGTGGGTAAGCTGAATATTTTAATGTGTAAATGCTAAGAGATCCCACTTTCACATTGCTGCTTTACTGGACCGCCTTATCATTGTCAAATGGAAACAAATGAGGAAATATCCATTTCATGTTGTGCACACTTGACCCAGGTAATGTTCTACGTTCTCTCATTTGGCAAAAATAAGTTCACCATCCCAATAATTAACTGTAGATTTTGTCCAGAATTTTGGCTCTGAATTCATACCCATCTTGACTATTCCCACCCAACCCCCACCTCCAAGTCATTACAGACCTCTAACATGGTCCCTGTAAAGTAGCAGCCCATCTCAAATAAACTTGTTGCTTTGCCCAGAAGGCTTGCTTTCTTTTACTGCAACTTATCCAAATCTCTAGAAACCATGAGGATTCCCTTTCAAGTACATTTTCAAGAAAGGAAGCAAAGCAGCTGCTTATACAATCACAGCTCCAAGGAACTACAACACACGAATGTGCCCTGGAAAGAATAGGGAAGGCTTCACCAGCGTTTTGCAAAATGAATGAATTTTAAAAGTTCCTTTCCCTGCTAACACATCCTGGTAACTACCTTGAGCAACCCTGGACATGCAAAACAAGCTAAGCTGTGGGACTTGTCCCATTCTGTGACTCTCCCCTAGATGTCTTTTGTCCGTGATGCAGAGCTGAGGAAGAGAGTCGTGTTTGTGCTCAAATTACAATCTCCTCAATTCTCCACTTGGTTTTATTAGCACAGACATGACAGTGCATTTCCTGACTCTAAATGGGAACAGTCCAGGGTGAAAATCATAGGATTTGAGTGTGTCTCTCTTGCTTATATGATTCCTATAGCCTTTCTAACCTAGGCAAAGCCGCACTTCAATCCAACCCTGACCTACTAAAAATTAGTTTCAAAGAAAAACTTATGGCTGAAGGTTGGCTGGCTTGAAGCTGAGTTGAAAAGAAGCCATTGGCAGCTCCGCCTCCCCCGTTCCAGGAGAAGCAGAGCTATCATAGAGGTCCGGTTTCCAGGTGCCTCCAGCCAGCCCTGCAGGAGCCAGCTTCACACCCCTAGTCACACAGGCCTTATCTCTCCAAATCTCCTTGGGAAAAATGAGACAAACTGACTGAATCCTCAGAACCAGCTAGATTTGCCCTTCACTGATGTAGGAAGTTTCCTACTTTGCTACAGAACTTTTTCATCCTTTGCCACAGTATTCACTGGCACCTCCTCCCAACCTTCCTCCCCCCCCCAAAAAAAATTCTTGGAGCACAAAAAACTTTTGTGCTTAACTAAAACTCTTCTTTATCAGCCCTAAAAAGGTTCAAGTCCACAGTTACCTCTACCTTCTGTCTAGCTTGTGTTTTCTTTTCTCTACAAAGCCTTTCAAGGCTGTTAAATCCTTCTAAAACCAGCAAGAGTGAAAGTAGCTACGAGGTATCTTTCCCAGGCACCTGCTACATCCCCAAGACCCTGAGTTAAGCCCAAATGTGACGCTGTGTCTTCCTCAAAGGACCATTATTTTACATACAATGCCTCAGAATTCATTTTGTTTTCTAGTCCAATTCCAAAAAGATAAATCATCATCACCAGCCTGATAGTTTCTTAAGTAGCTGATAATATAACCATAACAGTAATTCTTTCATTGTTTTTGTATTTGTTCTTCAGCCCATTTTATAAAGAGCCCTAGCCACACTTCCCTGGAGAGAAATGGGGAATAGTTTCTGCACTCTATATCTTCCTGAGCCATTTACAGATAGGGCTGGTGTGGGGTGACATCATTGTCCTAGTATTTTAAAAACCTTCATTGTGCAATCATTTCTCTTCTTCACTTGAACATGCAGGGAAAGGTAAGGGTGTTTGTTCTTCTGGCAAGTTCGTAAGGGCAGATTTGCTTTTGAACTGGCTACATTTTCCTGAGTGCCTGCTGCAACGAGTCAGTGCGCCCCCTGCTGACCAGTCAATAGTGTAAGGCTAAGCAAAGTTTATTTTGTTCAGTAAACCGTGTCATATAAAATTAACAACAACCAATAAAATTAGCTTATATGTTTCAACTGTAAAAGTCCAAAACAAAATAAAGCTAGTTTTAGTGGTCCTAGAAATCTCTAGTTTGGCTTCTCCTCTTTGGCTGAATCAAGGTTCTTTTATCTAAAGCCCAGTGCACAAACATATAGCTTAATGTGACTAGTGTTCTTCCTTTTATTTCTTTCTCTATGGCAACCAATATGCTCTGCTCAGAAATGTTCCCCATCAAGGAAACAAATGATCTTCAGGGAGCAGCTCTATATGGCATCTGGTCCAATGGAGCACACAGAGTTAACCCCAGTCAGATGCAAGGCTGTAAACAAGGGGAGGAAACCCTAGTGATTCTCAGCCCCTCCCCAGCTGACACCTCTGCCTCCCTCATTACAAACCGCTGCATTGATTTAGCATCAACTGTTTCCAAATAAATTACCAATTCTAAATTGCAAGGTGTTCTGTATACAAAAGTGCAGTATAATCCCAGACATTTGACCCCCCACCCCCCACCCCCGCTGCCCCAAATGTGGCTTCCTTCAAAAGAACAAACCCAGACTATTTCACTAAAGTAAGATAATCACACTGGCCTGGACTTGGCATAGCTATTTCTTTCGGTCATTTTTATTTAAGTAAGTAGACCTTTGAATTTTCCAAAACCCGGGGTAGTGATAAACAGGGTTAGGTCTGACTGTCACAAATAGAAAACATGGGAAATCTGGTGCTTTGGATGCTGAATCCCCAGCATCCTTGGGGAGTGGAGAAAGGGGATGTCCTGGTTAGTTTTGATTGATCACCTGCTTTCTGATGGGCTTTTACTACTGCCAGGAGCTGCAGCTCACCGCCTGCTCCCCAGTTGCAGCGTTAACCAGGGGTACATTGACTTGCTGCCTCTTCTCCCTCCTTGCTTCCTCCTCTCTAGCCCTCTGCCCTCCATTTACCAGGCCCCCCCCTCCTCTCTGGATCCTACTGCTCCCTGTCCTAGTCCGAGAAGACTCAGTCACCCCCACTAGCTACAGACCTCAGGCTTCCCCCTCTTCATGCTTGATTCTCTGGGGGAAATTCCGAACAAGAAATATTTATATACACCATGCTTAGTAGACACCCCTTTTCTAGGGTCTATCCCTCCCATAATCAACAATTAAAATCAATAGCACTTTCTCTCTCTCTCTCACCCTCTCACAGCTCTTGCTGTGAGGGCCTTTGGAAGCAGTCCACCTTTTTATGTATTATTTTAGCAACGTCAGATTCCTTCAGTTCACTCCCTCCGACACACTCTCCCTTCCCCTCTCAACCCAAGCAATGAAAATAAAGCTTCCAAACCTACAAGAACATAAATAAATACGCCAGAAAGGACGGAAAGGAAAAAGAGAAATCAGAGAAAGAAAATGGGGGGGAAAAAACCACTTACCCAGCAAACTCCCAAGGTTAGACTTTTAAATAAAAGGTTGTTTAAAAAAAGAAAAAAAGAAGGTGCCTGGAGGGGTAGAGGAGAAGACGTAATTCTCTACTCTCCAGAACCGACGCTTCCTAAGCCTTCCCTTTACACTGACTCCTCTAAGCCCAGTTCTCACTAGTCTATTATTTTCACCAAAATATATGAAAATGTATGCAAATGAAAATCAGCACTAACTGTTCTCCCCTTGTTATATACTTTGGATTTTTTTTTCCAGACAAAACAATCACACTCCACAGAGGGAGGGGGCGGATGGGGTGGGGCGGGAGTCGGGGGAAGCTGGGGAGCGATTTGAGAACTAAGTATATGGAAGGGGGGAAGGGGACAGACCTGGGAACAGAAGTGCATTTCTGTTATGGAGGAGCACAGCGTTTGGGGGGGCTTCCCGAACGCGCACACCCTCCTTGCAAGGAGAGAAAGCGGATCCGTTTGCAGAGGCGCTATCCCGTTTCATCAGGCCACCTGAGACGGCTTTTGAAAGCGTGTACTGTGAAACTCATAGCAGTAATTTAGACAAAATCCTCACTGTATATTAATGAAAGGCGGCCCCATGGCTCTGTTCCTATCCTCCCCATTCAGTGTAAACAAAACCACGAGACTCTTTCGGTTTTTGAGCCGGATCCAAGCAAAATCGGCAGGAAAGGAAAACACGGGGTGCTGGCACCGACCATTCAAACGTCTGCACCTGGAGATCTCAGATTTATTCAATGAAATCTGTGTTCCATCTTTTATATATACATATACGCATACATAAATATAAAAAGGAACCTTTTAGAAGGGAGGGGGAATCCGTTCTGTTTGGGGCTTTGGTTACTGCTGCCTTTTAAATCTGTTCCTATGATGGTATCTTTTCACCCCGGCAAGCAGGAGCTGGACCCAATCCTACATAAATGCTTCGCGTCTACAGTTAATCTCGAGATCACGCCGAGGCTGTGTGGCTGCTGCTGAGCTGGAGAGCTCCTACTGTAACTGAGTTCACCTAAGTGAGCTCGGTAGAGGAATTATGCATCCGGGGAGAAGGCAGGCCAGTTCTTTATATTCGGAGCACACTGACAGCCGGGTTACGTTCTCGGCTGCAGCTCGAGCTGGGGACTGCAGGCTGCAAGCTGCAGGCTGCAGGCCGGTGCCCTGCAGCTGGGGGTGCGGGTGCAAACACACGCACCCTCATTAAGAGTCCTGTATTTATTGAATGTCCGAATTGGGTTAGTTCATTGGAAATCCCCAAGGAGGATTTAATTTGCCCTTGTTTTCGTTGCCACTTTCTCTTTTTTCTTGGTTCGCTGAGGTTCCTCTGTACGGCGGCGTTTCCGCTTGGCCGCGTCCCCCCTCCACCCCGGCGCGCGCGCGCACCCCCCCTCCGGCTTCTCCCGCCTACCGGGCGCACTCCTCCTCTCGGCCCCCTTAACTCTTTCAGCTGGGTTGCAACTGAGAAAGCTCTTGTCGCCAGCGGTCACAGCCACCGCGCAAACCTGAGACCCGAAGAAAGAGGAAAATAAAGCGCCCCCATGCCCAAGAACATAGCAAGCGAGTAAAGCCCCAACACACACACACACACACACACACACACACACACACACACACACACACACGAGTCAGCAGTGGAGCGGGGGAGGGCGCGGCTAGTGGACCCAATCCCTCTGGGCAGGCTGCAGCAGTCACAACATTCTAAAGGCATTGGGGTCGAATACACTTACGATGAATCTAGGGGAACGGTCGGGCTGATTGCCTTTCAAATACCTCGAGTGGCTTCGTTGACCGGCACCCTCCAAACTCACAAGGGCACGCACGCTACTTGCAAGCATCCCAGAGGAGGGTGGGAGGGAGGGAGGAAAGGAGGGAGAAGGAGAGGCAGAGGGGTGGGGGAGAGCGAGCAGCCGCAGCAAGCGGTCCGTCTCGCACGCGCGGGCCCCGCGCTGGTACAGGGCTGCAGGTTTCCCAGATGATGGCATCCGAGAACTTAAACAAAGAGGGTCGCCGCCGGCGCGCGGCGGCTGCACAAAGTTGCAGTGGCGGATTTCCAAGAAGCTTGGCCACCGGAGCTCTGGGCGAAGCAAGCCTCCCTTTCCCACCTCCAGCAAGACGGAGACCCGGGCTCGCGCGGGAAGGAAAGAGGAAACTTTGAGACCATTGGGGACACATCTGTCTATAGGTATTAGCTTGAACCGTGCATCCGTGGCGCGCGCGTTACAAATCTCTGGCGTGGGGTTGGGGGGTGCAACACAAGGCAATCTAGATAGAATGGGGAGACTGCTGTTTTTCGTGATTTCACCCCTCTTCGTTTTCCTTCTGTCCCCCCCCCTCCTCTTCTCTCCCGCCCCGTTCTTTTCTCTTCCCTTTCTTTCCAACCTCCCAGACCAATCGCGAAGGCAGGGAGCAAGCAGAGGGAACGCAGGCGTTTGGGCCGGACACTAAGAGTTAAGATGTGGCGGAGGGGCGGAGTGGGGGGGCGGGGGCGGCGGGGGAGGGGCGGGGAGGGAAAGTGGAGCGGGGGAGGGAGACTGGGGGACGACAGATTTCCAGCTTCTACGACGCTCTGCCTAAATTAAAAAGCAACCAATCGGAACGGCCGGAAGGGGGGCCGCGCGTCCTAAGCCAGTCATTCCGGGCCTGCCAATCACCCAGCGGGTAGCCAATCAGCGGGGGCCCTGGTGCTCGACTTCCTTGTATTTGGGAAAGTGTGGTGGTGGGTGCGCGCTTGCGGCGGAGGGTAAACATTCGACAGTCCCTGCTCTGAGAGGGAGGGACAGAGAGCGAACTGTCAGATCCTAGCGAGAGCGGGCGCTCGAGAGAGGGAGAGAGAGGGAGAGGGAAAGTGAGACAGGGAGAAAGAGAGAACCCGGGCGCAGAGCTAGCTCCGGCTGCAACTCTGCCCCGGCACGCCCGCGCCCGCGCCCGCGCCCGCCGTCGGGCACTCTAGGAGCGGTACAACGTGCCCACAGGAGTTGGTTGTGTATCAAGGATCCCTGTATGCACACACACATCTCCATCTCCACCAATGCACTCTTCTTCTTCCTCCTTCTCCAGACAACTGCGGGGGAAAAAATAAAACACCAACCCCAACCTTCAGCAACAAGGTAACAGAGCAATTCGACATTTTTTTCCTGTTCAATTTTTGCCTTGTTATATTTGTTTCCTAATTTCTGCCCAAAAGGAAAGATGTCGCACCAGACCGTGACTGTTGCGAGGAAAATGAAAAGGGACTCTTGTTTCAGAGACATCCAAGAGCTCCGGCAATAGCAACTTCAGAGAAATGCACCATCGCAAGAAGTTTTCCTAGGACAGAACAAAACTTGAAAGGAGAGGACCAGAGGGGGAGAACAGGAGCCAGCCTCCCACTCCGCAGACGCGAGCCGCCAGTATCACCACGCCTGTAAGGACCAGAAAAGTTTTACTATGCTAAGGGGAAACAGTGAAATGTGTTGCTGAAACGCAGAGAAGCCAGCGGACCAACAAGGAGCGGCCCGATTGCTGGCCACCCACAATTTGGCCGAGGAAGAAAGGAACCGCTTCGTCCTTTGTTGTCTCGCGTGAAACCTTTGCTTAGCAGGTGGACAGAGCCCCGCGCCGGGGCAGAGTCCACACCCGCCCGAGGACGAGGACAGGAGGAACAGCCTGAGCCCCTGAGCCCGGAGAGAGCGCCCGAAGTACGGGTCCCCGCCCCACTGGGCGAGCCTTGCTGGAGCGAGTCGATTGCTCCCGGCCAGGGGGGAGACCACGACCCCCCCTGAAAGGGCTGGCCACGGAGCTCACCCCGAGAAGCGATCCCCCCTCCCCAGGGCGCTGCTCCTTCTGCGGCTGCTGCGGCTGCTGCTGCTGCTGCTGACCGAGGCCCGCCCGCGACCCCCGCGCCCTGCCGAGCGGCCTTGCAGCTGCAGCCCCGGGCCGCGGCCGCGGCGGCGGCGGCGGGGGCGGAGGAGGCGGAGGAGGAGGCGGCGGCGAAGGCGGCGGGGCCGGCGGGGACCCGGGGCGGGGGAGGAGGAGCGGGGGGAGGAGGCGGGAGGCGGGGGGGCGCGGCGGCGGCGGCGGCGGCGGCGGCCGCGGCTGCTGCTGCGGCGGCGGCGGTGGTGGCGGCGGTGGGGTGGCGGGAGCGGAGCGGCATGGCCACGGCGGCTTCTAACCCCTACCTGCCGGGGAACAGCCTGCTCACGGCCGGCTCCATTGTGCACTCGGACGCTGCCGGGGCGGGCGGCGGCGGAGGGGGCGGCGGCGGCGGCGGCGGGGCGGGGGCGGCGGCGGTGGCATGCAGCCCGGGAGCGCCGCTGTGACCTCGGGCGCCTACCGGGGGGACCCGTCCTCAGTCAAGATGGTCCAGAGCGACTTCATGCAGGGGGCCATGGCCGCCAGCAACGGCGGCCATATGCTGAGCCACGCGCACCAGTGGGTCACCGCCCTGCCCCACGCTGCCGCCGCCGCCGCCGCTGCCGCCGCCGCCGCCGTGGAAGCCAGCTCGCCGTGGTCGGGCAGCGCGGTGGGCATGGCCGGTAGCCCACAGCAGCCTCCCCAGCCGCCGCCGCCGCCGCCGCAGGGCCCCGACGTGAAGGGTGGCGCTGGGCGCGAAGACCTGCACGCCGGCACCGCGCTGCACCACCGTGGGCCTCCGCATCTCGGGCCCCCACCGCCACCCCCGCACCAGGGCCACCCTGGGGGCTGGGGGGCCGCCGCCGCCGCCGCCGCTGCCGCCGCCGCCGCCGCCGCAGCCGCTCACCTTCCGTCTATGGCGGGCGGCCAGCAGCCGCCGCCGCAGAGTCTGCTCTACTCCCAGCCCGGAGGCTTCACGGTGAACGGCATGCTGAGCGCGCCCCCGGGACCCGGAGGCGGCGGCGGCGGCGCGGGTGGTGGAGCCCAGAGCCTCGTTCACCCGGGGCTGGTGCGCGGAGACACGCCCGAGCTGGCAGAGCATCACCACCACCATCACCACCACGCTCACCCGCACCCGCCGCACCCGCACCACGCGCAAGGACCCCCGCATCACGGCGGCGGCGGCGCGGGGCCGGGACTCAACAGCCACGACCCGCACTCGGACGAGGACACGCCGACGTCTGACGACCTGGAACAGTTCGCCAAGCAGTTCAAGCAGCGACGCATCAAGCTGGGCTTCACCCAAGCC